AAAAGTTAAAAAAAAATTGAAAGTTCAATTGCAAAGAACTTTTAAATCAAGGTTTCATGTAGTTGAGTGTATCACCCTGGGAGCTTTAGTCTTTTTCGTGAAAAAAAAATAGGATAGAGCTCTAAGATTATGCATTGATTACCGACAATTGAACAAACTCACCATAAAGAGTAAATACCCATCACACAGAATATATGATATGAGAGACCACATACGGTGATGAACCTAAGCCGGTGTGGAGGAATTGGAGTTTTAAGAGCTTTAAGAATATTTGAGGATAAACTTCATAGGGTGGACTCATTTGTTTCAGGTTTTCAACTACTTGGAGTGGGGCTAAAGCCGAAAGCAATTTAGAAAGCAAAAGGTGTATTTAATGTATATATTTGTAGTAGTTGAATATATGTGTAGCAAGAGAACCCTAATCTCATTTTCGAATCGAAATCTAAGGTTAGAATTTTTCATTTTATTTATATTCCAAACCAGATAATGAAAGCCTTGTCTCGTACAAAACAAGTAGGGTTTCTCATACATTGATTCTCTTAACTTTTCCTTCAATTTTCTCTCCAAAGTACGGCTTATACATATCCCAGTTGTAGGCTAAACTCACGATATAATGCTTTCAAAAAAAATAATTCACGATCTAATGCACTCCCTATATTATTTGTTGAAATAGGGTGAAATCAACAGTGTGGTCGTAGGTCGCCATGCCTTCCGGGCGACCTACTACGTCGCCATGGCTTCCCGGGAGCTGCACAGAGATAATGGACGTCTGCATGGAACATGCACGTCCCCAACACCCCAACACAGGTCGTCATGCACGTCCCCAACACCCCAACATAGGTCGCCATGCACTCCCAGCGACCTACAAGGTCGCCATGCACTCCCAGCGACCTTGTAGGTCGCCAAGCAGTCCCAGCGACCAAGCTTAGGACCAAACTTATCCCTGCTGGCGACCAAACTTATCCCTGCTGGCGACCAAACTTAACCCTGCTCCCTCGTGCATGGGTTGCATCCATAGCTGGGAGATTATAGCCAAGCTTTAACCCTCTGCTCCCTCATGCATGTGTTGCATCCATAGTTGGGAGATTCCTGCATCCATAAGCGTTAATTTAGCTGCTAAATGCAGCAAATATTGATGTTGAATTGCAACCTTTCAATGCTCAATAGTTACACGATTCAATGCTCAATATTATTTGCTTCAACAATCAAATTTAATGACGCTCTCCAACGCTCATTTTCTTTATATAGAAGATATGGGGGTTTAGGGTTTAGGGTAAAAGCAGAAGCAGCACATATAGAAACTTTATCGAGAGAAAGAAAAGGAAGAAGAAGAAAAGAAGATAAAGGCTCAAACATTTTTTTAAGGTAATTTTTTATTGTTTAATTTAGTTTATTATATGAAATTATTAGTTTGTTAGCTTAGGGTTTAGGGTAAAACTAAAATTTAGTTAATTAGTTTGTTAGTTTAAGTTATATTATATTAGTTTGTTAGTTTAAGTTATATATTATATTATATAAAAAATTAGTTAATTAGTTTCTTAGTTTAAGTTATTAAATATAAAAAAATTAATTAATTTGTTAGTATCTTTAAACGTATATTAGGTTGTTTGTTGAAGTTATATTATAAAAAAAATTAATTAGTGCTTAATTAGTTGTTAGAAAGGAAAGGAAGAAGGCACAAATACGCGGGTAATTTATTATTTTTTGTTGTCTATTTTTAGTTGTTGTTTATGTGTAAATTAGTTAGTTAGTAAGTTTATATTAGATAATTTGTGCGAGATAATTTCTGTTTAAAAAAATATTGTGTTTAAAAATATTTAGTGTTGTTTTAAAAATATTTTGTTTAATTTATATTATATGTGTAAATTAGTAAGGAGTAAAAGTTAATTGAATAAAATAATCCGGTCAACGCATTATCTCATGAAATAATTCTTTCGAGAACATTATCTCGACAGTTCTGCCTAACAAATTTATTTGATATTTTTAAAAAATAAAAAATATTAGCAAACTAATCATTATTATTAGTAATAATTACTAAATGATTAGTATCAAATATAAATCATTAAATATTTATAATAAATAATTATTAGTAATCATGAATAAATCATATTATTATTAAATCATTAAATATCAAATCATTAGATTAATAATAATTATTAAATCATTATTAGTAATATTAGTAATCAATCAATTAAATTAAATAACAAATTTTATTTGATCATTAATATAATAGTATATTATATTATATTTAATGATTTATGAAATTATCTTATCTAATTTTTTAATTTAAATTAATTTATTTTTTTATTTGTAGAGAAAATGAGCAACAACTTTTTACGATTGTCCATTATAATGGACAGATTATGGAAAATGAGGTCGGAGTAGTTTTTCAGTCTGAAAAAACAATAAATATGATGTTCAAAAAAGACATCACATTTATAGAAATGAAGCATAAGATAGAAAGAAAAATTCGAGTTGCAGTTGATGGTTTGAGGTATAGGTTTATGATATGCCCCAACCCAGTCAGATATGCTGCAGTTCCACTTGAAGAAGATGATGATATTAGAACCATGGTTGGATTACATGAGTCAACCAATATAGCAGTTATTGAGTTATTTGTTAATGTACGTAACATATGTGATGTTCCTGGGTCATCATGAGGTGTGGCTCAAAATCCATCTGAAATGGCTTTATATAGTCAGTTTGAGGATCCGACATACAAGTTCTCAAACAGTTTTATGGCACTATTGGAAAGTGTAAATGAAGTCGGGGGGACATCTGCAGCAGCAGAGTATGAGACGAGAAATATACTGGAATTGGTTGTTGATATTGACACTGAAAATCGATGGGGAGAAATTCATGATGATTCAAGCGAAGATGAAGAAACCGAAGAACCCGTTTTGGGCGGCGACGAAAATATTTTTGGTGGAGGTGCAATTGATGAAGTTCCGACACCGTATGAAGCTACTCCTCACATGTACGAGATAGACTATGATGCGATGAGGGCACCTGAATTCCCAAACATTCCACATTTACCTCCATACCAAATGATTGAATCATTCGATAATTCTGGTGAATTTTTAGTTGGGGTGCAATTCAGAGGAAAAAATGAAGCTACCTTGGCGATTAAAGAGTACTGCATCAAATGCCATGTTGATATCCATGTTGTAGAGTCCAACCAGAAAACCCTATACGCGAAGTGTGTAAAATATGGCCTAGAGTGCAAGTAGAAGATCAGAGTGTCGAAAAATCAAAGGCACGATGTTTGGGTCATCACGAGGTACAATGGTCCGCATATATGTTTGCAAAACTTCATCGAACAAGACCACCGACTATTGGACTCCGATGTAATATGTGAATACGTGAAGGCGATGGTTGAAAAGGATCCAAGGATATCTTGTTCAGTGTTAGCTGCATCTATTCGAAGCCAATTTGGATATCAAGTAAAATATGGCAAGGTGTGGAATGCGAAGATGAAGGCAATGAAGCTGACGTATGGAGATTGGGATACATCGTACAATGAGCTACCACATTTGCTACAAGCAATGAAGCGATTTATCCCAGGAACCATAGTGAAGTTTCAAACCATGCCTGCATATGACGAAGAAGGTCAACTTCTGCCAGGGAAAAAAATATTTCATAGACTATTTTGGGCATTCAAGGCATGTATTGAAGGATTTCCATTTTGCAAACGTATGATCCAAGTAGATGGTACGTGGCTGTATGGTCAATATAGGCATGTACTTTTGATGGCAGTTGCTCAAGATGGTGAGCGAAATATCTTCCCAATTGCATTCGCCATTGTTGAGGGAGAGACAACAGAGGCTTGGGATTTCTTTCTGAACAATCTACGTCAATATGTCGTTCGTAAAGATGGAGTTTGCTTGATATCCGATAGAGGAACGGGTATTTTGGCGGCAATTGAACGACCAAGAAGTCGTTGGATACCTCCGTATGCATATTCGACATTTTGTATCCGTCATATTGGCAATAATAGTATCGACCAATTTCATAACACACACATTCGTAGCGAGATAGTCAGCATGGGTAAGTTTTATTTTCAATATTTGTGCATTTTTACATGGTTTTTTTAATTGGGGTTTAACACAATATATTATGAAACATGATACGAACTACGTCGACCAAATTTTGACAAGAGATTGGAGAATTTGAAGGTATTTTACGATGATCAGTATGTTTGGAAGTGAGCTTCAAAAATACCGCGGGAAAAATGGTCGCAAGCATACGATGAATGTCGGAGATACGGACATATGACCACAAACCTTGTTGAGGCCATTAATTCGGTACTAAAAGGTACACGCCATCTCCCAATTGCGAGTGTGATGAAAGAGACGTACTTTAGATTGGCTAAAGTTTGGTCGGACAAAGGCAAAGAAATAGAGAGTCTCATAAATAGAGGTAAAACTTTGGCTCCTACAGTGGTGGAATCAATGGAAGCAAATGAGCGATTGGCAACATCAATGGTTGTTCATAATTTCGACCGAGTTGGTCATACTTTTTTCGTGTCGTGCATACGCCGTAACGTCGGAGGAGAAGACCAAAAATTTAGAGTTGATTTACGACAGAAATGGTGTGATTGTGGTCGTTTTCAGGCATGGAAATATTCATGTGCTCTTGCAGTCGCTGCATGTATGTATGCTGGTGTAAGCGCATACACTTATGTTGATGAGTGTTTTCACCTACGTAGGATATTAAATGTCTACAGCTATGCGTTCAGACAGATACCGAATGAATCATATTGGCCCAGAAAAGATCATGACGAATGGCTGCCAAATCCAATGCTTCGCAGAAGTCCAAAGGGTCGACCTGAGTCCACTCGTATTCATACCAGTATGGATTTTCATGCTAGAGAGAGAGGTCAAGCAAAGAGATGCGGATTATGTAGGGGTGAAGGCCATTCAAAAAACAATTGTCCTAATTTACCAAGATATAGGCCTCATCATTAGTAATGATATATCTATTTCTATGAATTTCTATGTATTTATAATATTTAGTAATGATTAGTAATGATGAAATTATTATTAATATTTAATGGTTTGATAGTAATGATTTAGTAATGATTAGTAATAATGAAATTATTATTAATATTTAATGATTTGATATTAATGATTTATTAATGATTAGTAATAATGAAATTATTATTAATTTTTAATGATTTGATAGTAATGATTAGTAATAATAATTTATTATTAATATTTAATGATTTGATATTAATGATTTAGTAATGATTTGATAGTAATGATTTAGTAATGAGTAGATGGATGCATCAGGCTGCACAAACTCTGGTATGTATGCATCGTCGAACGGTTGTGGTGCGCTATTATCCACATCGGTCATTTCCGCTTCAGGTTGTTGAGATGAACTCCCACTCCCACTTGGTAGAGAGTATTCAGCTTTACCAAATCTTTTCTTAAACCTCAAAAATTATTGTCTCTCTACAATTGTTGTCAAGAATGGCTTTCCATTATCCAAAAAATAAGCAAGGTAAGCCGAAGTCTCAAAATTAAAGTCGTCGTCTTGAATGTCGTCAAGAGTTGGCATGAATGAAGCCCTATTGTTCCAAGCATTAATGTAGGTTGCATGCTTCTCAACCCAATTAACATTTTCTTTACGACGACCATCAAATCTGTGCAGCTGGTCATGCGTCTCAACCCAATTCACCTGACGACGACCATCTAAGATTTGGATGAGGTCATGATCCCATGGACTCCACGGAATAAGTTGGTGGAAGTGGAATTTCCTCAATACTCTATCCCCAAATTGAATCTCAACAAAAGCAAAATTGATCAATGGTGTAACAGCACACCAATATTGAAACCCATCTAAAATATCGTGCGGTATCAACGCAAGTATTTCTTCATTCATGTATGGTCTCCATTTAAACTGTAAAATTACAAAAACAATAAAATTTATTTAAATCAAATAATATAGTTAATTTAAATAATAATTAAAAATAACAGATTATACATACCTCATTTTTTGCCTTAATGTAAATCTTTAGCCTGAACTCTTTAATATTGTTGTGCACCAACCCCGTGCCTTCAATTTTATGCCTCCATCTGTATATCAATCAAAACAAAAATATGGTCATTTTTATTTTATAATTAATATTTTATATTAAAATAGAGAATTCATATTACCTTCCGGCAAGCGGAAAGTCAACCGCAGTTCGACTAATCGGTGTCAGAAACGGAAATCTATGCCAAGCCCATGACTGTAGCAGCAACAGACATCCACCGATTTCTGCTGTATTATTATCATTCACGACTAATGACGCCTTGCACATCTCACGATACAAGAACGCCAATATCGCCGATCCCCAGCTATATTTCCTATTATTCTCAAAAATTTTTAAAAAAAGAAGATACTGAGTGTGAACATAACTACCGGATTTATCCGGCATTAAAATACCCCCAATCAACTGTAATATATATGCTCGTGTTGCATATATAATTTCGTGCTCCATACTATTTGGTTGAAACTGAAATTCATTCTTCAACCATGACAACCTCACACGCCACCCTTTACACTCTGGTGGTACGGGCGTTTTCCCAAGAAACAAGCTACAAAGTTGTGTCACATTATTAAACTCATGTGACATTACCACTGGCATCTCATTTGTTTGGACCCCGAGTTACAATGCCACATCCTCCAGAGTTATCGTACATTCGCCACACGACAAATGAAACGTGTGCGTTTCTGGTCTCCAACGCTCAATCAAGGCATTGATCAAACCTGGGACCAACTTGTAATCTAGCACAAATGTTACATACCAAAATCCAGCCTCCTGCAAGTTTTCTTCTATCAATCTGTGTGGCTTGGGCACTTTATGTAGCCGAAGATGAAGGACTCGCTGCTCGTCCTCCTGTAATTAAATATTTCAAAAAATTTATCACAATCATAAAATAATATTCAAATATTTATTAATTATAATTCATTAAACAAATATTTTATTCACCATTATTCCCAAATGACTTGAAATATGTTCATTGTCAAGCCTCAACAGTGGAATTTGGTCAGCCATTGGATGAATCTGTAAAAAAAATTAAATAACAATATTTAAAAAATCATTTAATATAATCTAATATAAACTAACTAACTAATTTACAACACTAAACTTTAATATAATAACTTATAATATAATAAACTAATAAACTAACAAACTAAACTTTTTAAAATATAAGTTAAACGTAAACGCTAAACCCTTAAACAACTAATAAAATATTCTTTTATATAACTAAAACTAATAAACTATTTTTTCATTATAATATACTACTAATAAACTTACTAACTAATTTTTTATATAATATAAATTCAACAAACAAATATAACTTAACTATTTAACTACCACAAACTAATTAAATAATTTGTTTATATAACTAACAATTAACAAAACAAACTAATTAATTATTTTTTAACTATATAACTATCAAACATACTAATTAAATAATTTTTTATTTATGTATAATATAACTTAAACTAACAATCATATAACCCTAAATTAACAAACTAATTAACTGATTTTTGTTTTACCATAAATCCTAAACTAACAAATTAAACATTTATAATAATAAACTAATTTAAATAAAAAAAAATTATCTCACAAGAGCCTTATCTCCCTTTCTTCTTCTTCTTTTCCTTTCTCCCTTTCTTTCTTTATCTTCTCCCTTTCTTCTTCTACAATCTCTTATCCCTTTCTTTCTTTTATGTTCTCACGATAATGCATACCACATATATAATTTAGGTGTCACCGGCTGCCTCAATTATTTCACCAATAATTGTGCAATTGCAGCTATGATAGCAGCTGATTTCACGCTGCAATGGTTCAATAATTGCACCAATAATTCACGGCTCAAATGGTTCACATGCATGCATTGCTGAATGAAGCAGGTGATTTCACGCTACATGCATGCAGCAGGAGGGGAGCACGTGAAGGAAAGCTTGGTCTCCGGGACTGCTTGGCGACCTACAAGGTCGCTGGGAGTGCATGGCGACCTGTGTTGGGGTGTTGGGGACGTGCATGGTGACCTGTGTTGGGGTGTTGGGGACGTGCATGTGCCATGCAGACGTCCATTATCTCTGTACAGCTCCTGGGAAGCCATGGCGACGTAGTAGGTCGTCCGGAAGGCATGGCGACCTACGGTCACATTGTTGATTTCACCCAATTTCAGCAAATAATATAAGGAGTGCATTAGATCGTGAATTATTTATTTTGAAAGCATTATATCGTGAGTTTAGCCCCAGTGGTATGTAAACAAAATTCTAATTTCGTGCGTACCAAAAATTATATGAATTCTGGTTATTTAATCAACAATGGCGTGATTCACTTAAGATTAGAAAAACGTGTTATTTGTTGATATAGCGGTACATGGTATACGATATTCAACACTGCGTTTCAAAATTCTATGTTAAACCAAGAATTCTGGTTTATAGTTCAATAATTAAACGGCAGTAGCATCTTGGTATCCCTTTCTGTCACGTAGCATAAAGGCATATATTATAGGAAACATTTTCTAGAAGACTAATATATGCACGTCGCGTCTTCCGGCATGGTTCGTGCTCATGCTAATATGTGCCTTCGACATGCATCGTGTGCATTTATTTTTGAACAAAAACACATAAATTTTTTTCATACTTTTGATCCTACTTTTCTCTTTTATTTCATCTTAATCTAACATATACCCAAAGTTCCGTGACATAGGCAGAAAGCAAGCATTGTAAGGCGTGCTTTCAAAGACGCAGAATAGGTCTTCTGCCTATGTGGCACAAAAAGATGACAATCTGAGAAATAATTGAAAATAGGAAAGAGCGATGAAGAAAGACTGGCTTTTCGCATGAAATCCTCAGAGATTCAAGAAAAACAAAGCTTTTTGCCTGTAAAAAATGCGGTGCATTTCTGGCATGGAAAAAATTTCGACTGCAAGATATTTGCAAACAGGGACCCAAATAACCCAAATCTCGAACTGAAAACGTAAAAGCATCAACATCCCACAAGAGCATTCTCAACAAAAATGGTAGCAAGAACATCAATGGTACCAGGATCAATAAAACCAGACTTCCAAATGCCTTAATTAAAAGGTAACAACAAACCAGAACTTGTTCATTCAGGTTAAACTCATAACAAGCTATTTACATTAAACTCGAGACATTTTTTTATTAAGATTACCTCAAATCCTTATTAACTACACTAAACACTATTACCAACAAACTAGAACAACACTATTTTTACAGAGCTTGTGCTAGCGGGAGCCATAAAATGTCCCAGAGTCATGCAGCCAATGATCCCAATTGCTTGTTTCAGATCAAGCTCTGCTCAATACTCTCTATCTTCCATCTCCAAGCTTCGATGTTAGGGCAATCTTTAGCTGCTCCGCCGTGTAAAATCGACTCCCCATCTTCACAGTGGCTTGTTGGATCATCAAGTCTTTCATTACTGATACACTGGCATGGTGCACTTCCAGGTCTAGCTCCTTCAAGGCAAACATTAACCTTGCTGCTGGATGGTTCTTTTTACTGCATTGGATTTGGATCATTGCATCCCATCCGATAATTTTCGCATCAATCTCCAAATCTATCAGTTTACTGGCAAGGTGGTTAGACATCCTGTGTTCTTGATCATGTGTTGGTGGTGCTGTACATGACAATTCCTTCTTCATTGCCTCTAAATGGTTGTGCAACTCATCTTTCTCCGCATCTGCATTTTGTAGCTTTGACTTGAGCTCGTTGATATATGAAATTGCATCACCCAAGAGTGATGCTTTATCCATCTTCGACACGTTAGGAACCACGGCACGCAGGGCATAGAACTTCTGGTTAAGCTTCTCCCTTCTTTGACGCTCTGCTTCGACATGATTCAGAGGCTCTTCTCTTCCATTTGCCGGCTTTCTCCCTCGTTTTCGAGGCCTCTTTTCCGGCTCCACAACTCTACTACTATCGGCCTCCTTTACGACAGAAGCTTCGATGTCGGAGTGATCTGAATCACCAGCACCCCAACTTGATTTCACCACACCAGAAGGCAAAATTACGCCTGAAGTAAACGAAAGCATCTCTTCTTCATTGTTCCCTCTTGAAGTAGACGACCTCTTCTTATTCTCCACCAAAAACTGAGAGTTCCCTGAAAACAAATTTCTATTCCCAGTTCGCTTACTCTCACCAAAATTCAAAATCTCCCCGGCTTCTGGTTTCAACAAATGAGAAGACGAATTTCCATTCCTCACACTGCTGCTCCCATCAAAGCCATAATCCGAAAAATTCAAGCATAAACTCTGCCCCTGCGGATGATTCTGCTGCTGATTTACAGTAGGAATGAAACTGGGATTCTCGGTTAAACTACTGGAACTGCGGTTGTCACAGAACTGAGGCGACTTCTGAATCTGCTGATTGCTACTATTGTTGTTGTTATTGCTTTCCTTGAGCTCGACCCCAGGATTTGGATCACTAATCCAAAGTGAAGGAGGATCATTTTCTCCTTGATCAGCGGACCAAGAACCATCTTCAATTCCAGCATTGAAATTAAACAAAACCCGGACCTTGTTCATCAGATCTGAGCTTTGCGTGATAACTTCCGTTGAACCTAACTCAACAACTCCACTTGCCGACGGTATACAAACCATCGTCTGCAAACCGAAAACCTGGGCTTGCCTCGCTCTCTCGCACATGGAGCTCGCAAGTCGGTCTGACCCCACAACCCAAACCGGACTCGAATTGAAAAAGGCTTGTCCGGGAAGCCCGTTGCCGTTGACGAAAGACTGGGTCATGGAAACCAAAAAGAACCACTCGGTGTCGGTGACTTCTTCGTCGACGGCATCGTCGGATGGAGCCGCGGATCCGGAAATCAAGGAGTTAAGTTCTCTAAGCACTTTTTTCCGGTGCTCTTGTTCCGCGAGAGAAGAAGAAGAAGATGCTTTGGACTTAGCTTTCCCTTTATCCTCTTCTCCTTTGTAATACCCATCGCCCCAACCAAGTACGGTAGTGGCGGAGTAATCGTAGGAAGACTGCCAAAAGATGGCGTAAGTCCAGCTCTCGCGAGCCCCTTCGATGAGCGCTTGGAGACGGTGTTGAAGAGACTCTTGATTAAGGGAGAAGTTTGAAGGGTTGAGAGCAGCAGGAACAGGAGCAGGAGCAGGATGTGTGGAAGTGGAAGTGGATGCTGAGGATAGAGGCGGAGGCCAAATAGAAGAAAGATCAGAGGTCATGAAAGCTTCCATAACAGATGAATTATCGTCGGTCCAAAGATTCATGGTGGGTGGTAACTGATAGTCCGTCATTCCACAAGACTTGGGCAGGTTTATGTGAAGAAGATGAAGCAGAGAAAGTGGGGTTGGTTTGGTTTGGGGATTTATTTGGAGTGAAATTGAGCTGATATTTTTGGTTTAGCGTGTGGATTCCCTCAAAAAAGGTGGTTTCTACGAAGAAAAGGATGAGCCGAGCGTACGAAGCTGCTCATTGGCTTCCCTTTCCCTTTCTCTAGGCAGCCTTATTTTGGCTCCTTTTCCCTCTCTCTAGGAACCTACTTGGCTTTGCCTTACAGCACGTGGCCGCTTCTTGTTTCCCCTTCGTTATGGGGCTTGACTGATGTTTGAGATGCGTCAATTGCTCCACTTCCTTATTCTCACACTCAAATCAATTCAATTTTGGGTAAATTTGGTATATAGCTATCCACCTATTATTTGGGTTTTATTTTGGTAACTCAATTATTATTTTTATAAAATTTAATTTTTGGTTATGTTTTATCATAAAAATTAATAATGATGCTGACATGATTTTTTAAAATTATTTTTCAATGTTAATATGATATTACTTTATGATGACACATCAGTTTCATCGTTAATTTGTGAACAGTGGATGACCATAACAGAACCAAAATATAACGTTTAAGTATGATTTTGGAAGAAAAAAATGCATAATGTAAAAAAATACTTATAATATTTGACTAAATAGTCTCTTTGGTCACTATATTTTTTTAGGAGCATTTTAGCTCCTAACGTTTCATTTTGAGGCAAATAAGCCCCTCTATGAATGAAAAATGTTAGTTAACAAATGGTTATAGTCCAAAATAGAGATATTTTATCCTAAAATGAAATATTCAGGGTTAAAATGGTCCCAAAAAAAAGAATAAGAACCAAAATAATTATTTGATAAAATATTAGGGGTCTTTCTACTTTAAAATGAAATGTTGGCGGCCGAAATACTCCAAAAAATAATAAGGATTAAAATGATCATTTTAATAAATATTAGGAGCTAATTTTAATGTTATACCTTGGAAAAAATAGTTGAAGTTTAGTGATTAAAACAGAAATTAAGTAATAGGTGTGATCAAATAGGTAAGTTACCCTACAAATTTTTACATGTATATATATATATTCCTCTCTTTTTTAGTTTTGTTAACAGTTAGAAAACTGCAAGTCGGCAAAAATTAACTTTACGACTAAAGCGTGAACCATTGTGTCATAACTAATAAATTACTCGACTATAATATTATTAGTCAGAAAACGGATAAGCAGATAGAGCCAACACGTGGCTCAGCAACGTTACGGCGTGACGTTAAACATTCTAACAGTTAGTGACGTAAGCAAACCTTTAACTAAAAAACTAAAAGCATAATGATAAAAATCTCCAATATTTAATTAAATAATTATTTTAGATTGTATTTTTATAGCATTTTAATATAATTTTTTATTTTAGGATAAAAAGATCCCTCTATAGATAAAAATCGTTGGTCAACGTATGGACAACACTTTAAAATAGGTGTCTTTTTACCTAAAATGAAACGTCAATTATCAAAATATTCAAAACAAATTGTTAAAATAATTATTTAATCAAACATTAAGAATGATTTAACATTAAAATAAAATATTTAGAGAAAAAATACCAAAAAAACTATTTAATCAAATCTAGAAGCAATTTTTGACATTATGCGAAATATAAAACAACATATGGCCATTCAATTATAGTCACATTCATACCATTTAGGCTATAAGACAAGGCAAGCCTATTCAATCTTTATTGTAAACAAATCACTTTATTTTTTTTTCGTATTTATAATTTAATTTTATCTTATTCATTTAGGTAATAAGCATGTTCAACGGATACATATAATAACTTTATTATATAATTCATTTATCGATCATATCATAAAGACAAACAAACATGTTTTCATATCGAAAATGTTTAAAATATATTATTTAGTTTAAACATCACTTTATAACATTACCAACCTATTATATACTCTACATTGCAATTTAGTTACTTGCAGGCTAGATGAGTTTTTATTTTAATTATTGATGAAACAATGAGACTCAGATTTACTCGGACTACATTAATTAAGACCTTATTACCAGAGTTGAGATGGGATCGAGAGAGATGAAATCCTGGCCGTTGACGAGGTCTCCTTCTGTATTTCAAAATTTGAAAATAAAATAATGAAACGATTCCGCATTGCCCTCATCTCCTTACGATTTTAAATTATAGAAAAGATGAATTATTGAGGCACGTTTTGCTCGATGCTTTATAGTGATATTTAATATTTAACAACATTTTGCGGGGGCACCACTTTGCCTCTATTTTATCACAACTTCATTATTGTATTTTTGCTCAATCCAAAGCTTAGCAATTACATCCCATACTTCTACTTTTTTTACATTTAACTCCTTGTTCTCTATTGCAAATGAGAAGAATATCTCTAGTGGCGGATTTACACAGTGAATAAATGTTTTGAAATTTAAATTTTCTCAGTTAGTTAATTATTTATTTTGTTAATGTTTTTCATTTCATAATTTTATTTATGTCTGTCATATTAAAAAGTTATATCTTAACCATTTTGGAGAAATTACAAATAAATTAGGTTTTTGAGTGGAACATAATCCATATTAAGAAAAAAGTAGTACGTCTTTTTCTTTGGTCTTCGAATCACCAAAATTTTAAGCTAACTTAAACAATTAAGTTGGTGCGTTTTTTGCTGAATAAAATCAAATAATCAATCAAATGTTTGCGTACATAATTTTTTTATTATAGATTGTTTTGTGACTCAATCACTTAATTAATCGTATTTACTGAAGAAAATATTATAATTCTTAGATTTATTTGAATATATAATATTCAAAAGTCTAATAATAATTTCACCCAAAAAAGTATAATAATAATAATAATAATAATATGATTGAGTTAATACTCGATTAATAATTATAATTTAAATATAAAAAATTATATGGTAAAGCATCAAAATGGTGGTGGTTTATCGAGCAATCAATCCATTTTTTAGTACAAAGGAAATTCAAACTTAAAGGGTAGAAAATCACCCCTTACGAAAATAGATTTTGTAAAGAAGATAGGTAAACGTTTGAGCATTATTTTGGGTTCAATTGATCCAATCCCATCCTCCCCTACTCCATTGTCATTTTTACACAATAACCACCGTTATCGAGTGATTTTAGTGATAAAATAAATGCTAATCTCCTTAAAGATTTGGGTTCAAACAACGACATCTGTATAGTGTGTGTACGTTATCAATAGGTTAAGAAACTTCTAAGTTTTAATATATGAAACATTTACATTAAACATTATTTAGTCATAAATAATATTTAGGATGAACTACATATTTAGTCATTCAATTATTCAGATGGTTTTATTTTAGTCATTCAATTATCTTTTTCCAAAAGCATATTTATTGTTACGTTTCGGTTTCATTTTAGTCACTTGTCATTAAAAAAATTAACATAACTACTGACGTGACATTTTTTTATTTTTTTTATTGATGACGTGATACTATCTTATAGTAACAAATCAAAATTACTATTAATTTTTTAAACTGTAGATGACAAAAATAAAATAAAAAATGTAACGTTAGGTATAATTTTAAAAAATAATCAAGTGACCAAACTAGAATTATAATAATCATTAGGTGAAAAATATGTAACTTACCCTTATATTTATTGCTTCAAGGTGTTGGAGGGGGTGTTATTGCTTCTTCAATTCCAACATAAGCTTGCCTACAACTTGCCAATTTGCAAAGCACACTCCAACTGAAAACAAATTAAATAATAAAAAAGACAAGGAAAATAAATTATTTTCCTTTTTTCTAAAAAATAAATTGTAAACTCACGTGGCCATCAGAACCATGTTTCGTCACTGGCTGCTCTTTGACCGTGAATTATACAAATTCCACTCCCATGGATTGTAGTTATAGACACAAATTCATAATTCCCACGAGTTACATGCCATGTTATGTTAGGTTTAATTTAATATCACTGTCTATAGCCTACATGCATGTTGATATTTAATAAGGGATCGAAAAATATTTTTAAGAATGAATATATATATATATGTAATTTTTTTATTTAAATAAATATAAATAAAATTTTAAGATAAACACAATTAATAAAATAATTAATAAACTAATAAATTTAAATTTTAAAATAAATGGATAAAATATACAAATAATCTCCGATTATAGGATATTGTTTTGTTGAGTTACTTGACTATTGAAAATTACATAATGATCCCTCGATTGTAGGTTATTGCTTTGTTGAGTCTTCCGACTACTAAAAGTTAATAAATGGTCATCAGACTATTAATATGTTACAAACTCATATTTTTTTCGCTAAGAAATTGTCGACAGCCTGAACTGGACGTTAACTTGTTAATTGTGATATGATAAAATTTGATTCAAGAATCTTAAATAACTATACAACTGAAATGGTTCTTGGATTAAATTTTATCATATCTCAATCAACAAGTTAACGTTCAACTTATATGACCATTAATTTTTTAACGAAAAATGACAAGTTTAGAACATATGAACACTTGAGGGATAATTTTATAATTTTTAATAGTCGAGAGACTTAACAAAATAACGTCCTATAATCAAAATATTATTTTATAACTTTTAATAATCGAAAGACTCAACAAAATAATATTTTATAATCGAGGATCAATTATATACTTTACACAAAATAAATATTTGGTCATCATAAGTAAAACGTATATCCGGCACGAATGGTATGAGATTTAGTTGATTACAAGGCAGGTTTCTCCCAATGGTATTTAAATACGATTCTGATCACTATCAATAATAAATTAAGTATAGGAAATAAAATAAAGAAAGAAGGGGTTAGAAGAAAATAAACTAACGCAAAAATAGTTTTCTTTTATTATTACTAATATAAGATAAGTATAAGATAATATATTTTAAAAAAGATTTTTTAATTATTTAATAATAAATTTTTATATTTTTGGTATTTATAATGCTTAAATTTAAAATATTTAATAATAATAATAATAATAATATTTTTTATTACTAATATCATTTAATTCATGCTATTTCAAAATAATTGATTTTGGGAAATGAGTTTTGATTAATTTATAGAGGAGTGGGCGGCAACTCCACGTGAATCATACATTGAAAATCAGTGTCCACGCGTCTAATGTGACGTGTCAATTGTAAACTTTTAGCCACCGTGTTTAATGATGCGCTGCCTTCCACTCTGCCAAAAATGAGGTCAAATTTGAAACGTGCTATCTACTTTTGGACTTACTTTGACTCGCTTTTTACCCAAAACTCAAATTTATTTTTTTAATAATTCATTTATATCACATAATTTTTACTCTATATATAAATTTAATTTATAATAATAAGTAATATTATAACAACACATTAAATTACTTTATTTTCAACTCTAGATTGTCAAAACCACTACCAACGGTGAGGAGGCCTGTTTTGTTTTCAACCTATTGCTTTGCATTTAAATATATTCTATTTATTAGGAAATGAAACATACATGCAGGCCCACAGTCGTTTTAGTTTGTAAAGGTTTATCCGACCTTACAGGTTACAGGCAAGGCAGTGATGGAGAACACTAGGCCTGCATTTTCTAGGAGCTAAGGTCAAATCAAACAACTTTGAGAGAACATGATATAGACAAGAAAAATATTTCAAACCTTTATATATAGAAACTCAGAATGTAATTGGTTGTTGTTAGCTTCATGGCTAGGGTTTATTTACCCATTGTTCATCGTGAGAGATTTTTTTCATTGTGTTTTCCTCTTTTATGATCAGGAAATAAACGATTTATATGCGAAGAAACCCGCAACAACTAATCGACGTTATGTTGATGCCAGACGAAACAAATTCTAGAAAACTGAAGTATTCAAACTCTGGTTCCGGCTGCCAACTGGTGTCTATCTCAAAAGCTTAGAGATGTATATATATATATATATAGCCCATTTTAGAAACTCCCTAAATTCAACTTAGATATTACAATCAAATCATGAAGATAACACCGACGAGGATTCATAAAATCATATTTGTTTCAAGAGTCATCAACGGTTAGCAAAGTAGATTATAAAATAAGTAAGCATAAGTTGATAAACTCATAAATATATAAAAAAAATTCATATACATGCATACATACAAAGTAATACATGCCAAAATATAGTTCAAAGTCTAATATAAATAATATCTCAAAAGTTTAAATACATAATAGGTCTCAAGTTTGATAAAATTTAGACTTATTTACTATTCTATTCGAAGCATTTGTTTACTTTGAAATTTTTAGCTTAGCTCTTTTGCTTAATCTTTTTATATATATGAAATGAAAATTTTGTTAACAAACAATTTTTTGACAATCACCTTTGAAGCATAGTGTGGTAGTGCATTTGCTTCGTAAGTAAAGGTCGTGAGTTCAATCCTCACCAAGGGCTTGTTAAAGATTTTTTTTAATGGATTTTTCTAATAGTTAAAATAAATTATGTTGAATTCGAATTCGAGCGTTTTGAAGCTTTTAAAAGATGTTTGTATCGCTCCTTTTTGCCTTTAAGATCAGTGTCCAGGCCAGAGATATGTTCATACATACTAACATTTTGGTTAAAAATTCGCAGCACTTCAAAACTCGTGGAAGTGACTGACAATGTTGAAGTCACTTCTCAACGTCCATGGAAAATCGACACGTGTTTACCTTCAGAACATAAATGTTTTCTGTTTGTTTTGTCTTAAAATGCAGTGGAACTCATATGTGGAAACATGAAGAAAATGATCGATCATGTTTTCAGAGTTACGTAAATAGTTTTCCCGTGAACATGCAAGAAAAGAAAATGGTCCATGCTTTTACCTCAAAATTCTACTCTCAAGAAAAACCTATGAATGTAAGGAAAAACTTTAAGAAAGAATTAATGCAAAGATAAAGAACTAACGCAAAGGTAAATAATTAAAGGAAATGAAAGTGCTATGAATGGCAACATTTTAATTGATTGATTTTCTTGTGTGTAAATGACATTAAATAAATATTGAGGTGAAAATCTTTAATAGGTTGGGACCGTTGATGAGATGGTGGAAAGGGCCTATAAAATAATTTCGGGATTCAACATTTAAAACTCCAAAGGATAAAATTACAACATTGGTCCCTCATCCTTAGCTCCCACTTCAAAATCCCTTTTTATGACTATTTGGGCTCAATTCTCAACCAATTAAGTCCAAACTTTGATCAATGACTCTAATTAACCAATTTTATCAGTCCATAAGCTTTCGTGTCAACTCGGGGAGTTGCATGATTCTTGGGTATAGTCAAAGCTCGAGTGAGTAGTTACTGTTTCAATTAAGGGGCAGTGGCATGAGTGGTTAGAGTATTGGGTCTATGTGATGGGTGATGGTTTGATCAAATTTGGTTTAGGCCTGTAGGCCTATTGGGTTTGGGTTGAATTGGGCTCTGGTTAATTAATAGGAAATGTTAGTGGGATTGCATTTCCTAATTAATGCTTCATTGGCCTTTTGTCAATGCCTCATAATGTATATACTTGTGATGTGGGAAGAAAAAAAACAATTTGTCAATTTAGTAGTTTTAACGAGCAGCATATCTTTTGCATCTTTAATGATTCAAGTTTTTGGTAATAAAACACTCTGTAATAATATCAATAAAAATAAATACACAACCCAAGAATTTCATTAGAAAAAGGACTCAAAAGAACTGAGACAACGAATATGGACATAAAAACAAGTAAATTTAGCCTATATATATAAACAATACCATACATCTTATCCGTTACATAAAAAGGTAACACTCAGCATAATATCATAAATTTTTATTCAAATTTAATAATCAGCGACAAGGTTGAGTCTATTAATTTTTTAAACTAAAAATATGAAAATTTATTAAAAAGTTCCTAAATTGTTATATTTAAAAAAATTAAAATTTTTAAGTGACAATAATAATAAAAGTAAATGATATTGTTCATAGAGGATTTAAGTTTGAGTAACTGCGTTTGTAGAGTGTGTACGTTGTTAATGAATAATAAAATTTTTAAACAGATACTACTTATAATCACCATAAATTACTAAAAAAATAATTTATTTTAAATACTTTTTTAATCAATTTTATCACATCAAAGTAAAATTACTATTTACAAGCATTCATTAACAATTATTCGATTATCGTTTTAAGAAAATTTTACATATTTATTTGATGATTATAATGTAGTATTTGTTTAAAATTTTTCTTCACCATTGACAATCAACGTACAACTTTTCCTACAAATGTATATGTTCAAACTCAGGATTTGAATAAAAAATATCACTTTTCTAACCACTGAAATCGATTGATGGGTTTGTATTTTATATTTAAAACTTATATTAATAAAGTAAAAAAATCATTTAAATAAAATTGATTAAATTAAGGCATTAAGCAAAAATGAGAGAGTGAAAACGAAATTGAAATCAAAAGGAAAGGAGGAGGTAGGTTCCGTGCACCCAACGCATCTCTCATCAAGAGCTTAGCTTCGGTGTAGGGTCGGATGTGGACTTTGCTTAGATAAGAACGACCTCTTCCCTTTTCCAAGTATTTGCGTTTTATTTCTCCCTCAACTTACCATTAAGCATTCATCTTCTCTCTCTCTGGGGTTCCCTCTGCTTCTCACTCGAACGTTAAACACACTGTACCCTGAGTTTTCTCCTTTTCTTCTCTATTATTTCAAGCTGGCTATCGAAAATCAAGAATCCACTATCCATGAAATCAAGCCAAAGAACAGAAGAATCATGGTATCTTCATTCTCAAAATGAGCTCCTTGTTTTCGATTTTTTTGGAACTTTTTATTTTTTTAACATTTTTATATAGATTTCTTGGTCGAGGTTTTGTTTAAAATTTGAGTTAATGCAATGGTGCTTAATGGTTCATGTCGTGTTGACAGGGAGCTGGTGGGCCTGATGATGAAGACGAAAGGTGGCCTCCATGGTTGACACCTTTGTTAAGAGAACATTTCTTTGTTCAATGCAAGCTTCATGCTGATTCTCACAAGAGCGAATGCAATATGTACTGCTTAGATTGCATGAATGGCGCTCTCTGTTCTTTCTGCCTTGCTTACCACAAGGATCATCGTTATATTCAGGTTCAGTATTTCCCTTCATATTTCCATCTTGGTTTGCTTTTTATATCCTTTTTTTTTCTGTCAAAAATATCACCACTGTCTATATTTTTTCATTTGAAATTGATTTCCTTCAATGGTGGCATTCATGTTTCCATTCTGGGTTACAGTTTTATGTCCTTTCTCGATCGACTTTGTTTTCATCTAAACCACATTTATTTATCCACCTGTTTTTCTTCAGTTTTTCTAGGATAGTTTTCCTACATTAGCACGGACGTAAATTTTATTTGAATTAACTAATGTGATCTGCTATGGTATTTGACAGATTAGGAGGTCTTCATACCATGATGTGATAAGGGTATCTGAGATACAGAAATATCTGGATATTTCTGGAGTGCAGACTTATGTTATTAACAGTGCTAAGGTTGTTTTCATCAATGGAAGGCCCCAGCCAAGGCCTGGAAAAGGTGTCACCAACACCTGTGAAGTCTGTGATCGAAGCCTCGTCGACTCCTTCCGCTTCTGTTCTCTTGGTTGCAAGGTATATTATCAAACTTAAATTTTCTCGGTAGTCAATTGTGCTGTTTGGTAACTGGGAAAATAACTGTAGGACTCTTTCGAGGTTGATCCTATTAGTGTTCAATTCTTGATTTTACACGTGTTTTTGGTCAGTTATAACTTGTTTGCTAATTTATGTTTGAATTTATATTAGTATTTTGTTGTTGACTATATGGAATTGCAGATTGTTGGCACATCCAAGAATTTCCAGAAGAAGAAGAGGCACTTAGCCATGGCATCAGGCTCTGAGGATTCAAGCATCAGCAGTAGCCATGGAATGCTGGGGAACAACAACCACAAAAATAACAAAGCGCGAAGCTTTAGTCCTTCGACACCGCCTCAGACATCGGTCAATTACCGAACTGCAAAACGGAGGAAGGGGATACCTCATCGAGCTCCGATGGGAGGTCTGATCATAGAATATTAACCATGGCCATCATGATGTGTTTTAAGTATAGTTTACCCCCACGTATATAAATATGTGGATATAGATTATAGCAGCAGCAGCAGCAACAGCAACAACTAGATGTGGATAAATAATTCCCTTTTTCTTAGTGTTTCACAAGATAAAATAGGGTGCTTGGTTTATAGAATGAGATTACACATAAGGTTTTGGAGAGCAGTAAAACTGTAAAAGAGACTGAAAGATGTAAATAGGGCATTAAGAGTAGTGAAAAAAAAGGTTCAATCATCATGTGATGTTGTAATGTAATGTATTAACAAGAGAGAAGCGATGTCTATATTATATATGGAATAAAATTATTTTGTGTTATAGGACGGAAAACTACTTCGGATACTACAAAATTGTGTTCATTGACTCGTTTATATTATTAAACTTTTACTTTTGTTAATTATAATATTTAACTTTAGTTTTACATTTAATTATATCATTTTGTCATTAAGTCACTAATGGGATGATGCCATAGCTAACTATTGCTTACATGATATGTCATACCAAAATGATGTTTTGATGCCTAAAACGACGTTGTTTTAGACACTAAAATTTTGAGTTGTATCGATTTTGTCACTGAACTTTTTAATAGATTTCTTTTTTACTATTACGCTTTTTAGCTGTTATTGGTAGCCAAGCATTGTTGTTCATCGATTATATGTCGTGGTAAGATCAGTACTAAAATTTTCGTATTTCACTCCTCTTTTTTGTTCTTCCTAGTATTGTTTTTCATGAAACTCACTCAAAATTGATGAAAATCCATTTAAAAGTTAACGTATTAATACTTTGATCTCTTTTAATGACTGTCTGCTGAGGCTAGTTTTGAGGTGTGTTGTTCTTATTATCAAAATAATGCTTTTCACCGTTCAGATTATTAAACAAACACCTCAAATCCCGTAAATCTAAAAAAAATTCAAACATCTAAAAAGTGGTAGATTTTTGTGTTGAATTTCGTTGATTTTGAGTGAGTTTCATGAAAAAATAATCATATGCGAAGAATGAGGAGTAAAATACGAACATGTTGATATCGTTATTGATGTGAAAAATGATCAGTGACCGGCGATGATTAGCTGCCGACGGTGGTAGAAAATTAAATTAAAGTACCACTCTAATTTAATTAAATTTTTAACTCATCGTTGTTTTTTATTTAAAATTTTAAATTCTAAATCCTAAACTGTAAACTTTAAACCTTAAATCCTAAATTTTAAAACTAAATTTAATTAAATTAGATTACTTAAATCAAATCTATAATTTTTACATAATACAGAGACTAATGATATAATTTAACCGAATGAATATTTACTTAAATTTCAAGTACATATTATTAAAAACAATGTCATTTGAACTTATTTTTATATTTAATAATTGTTTACTATCAACATTTTGTATTTGATATTTAAAGTTGTTTAAAATAATTTAAAGGTAAATTTGAAGGACTTTTATTTAAAAGGAAATAATAAACACTTGCATTGCTGAAAGAGGAGTGGGGTTGAGCTTAGGCATGATTAGTGATGAAAGAAATATATGGCATCAATGCTGTCTTCAATCGGTCATAAAAATATCTTTTAAACAGAATCATGGACAAGGAAATCCCTACTTGCAAGTAAGGATGGATCAAGAAGGAGAGGCGAAGACGATCGTTCATCGCTTTTAATATAAAATTATATGTCCATCTCATCCACTAGTAAAAAAATCTTGTTCTTAAATTGTATATAAATTTGACTATAACGTTTGCAGGTGTATGACTTAGTCTCGTCCCTGCCAATCAAATTTTGCCGGCCTATTCAATCAAAATTTATCTATTACCATACCCATTATCCATTATAAGGGAAATGGAAAATGGAAGTCAATTATGTTTTTAAATTAGCTTTATCTACAATCAGAACTGGTGTAGATATTTAACAGAATTTAAGAAAGCTCCATATATCCAATTATTGTAACATAATCCGTTCATTCAGGCATGGAATCTTACCAAAAGAGAAAAAGAGAATCCCAGAAGATCTCCATGCTTATGGTATATTAATGGTTGGCCTATTTCCTAGCACATGCTTTTGTCGTAGATTATGAGATAGCTTCAGTTCTGATTTTGCACATTGACATGAAACTGTAGGTACAATTGGGGGTATAGTAGAAGGAATAAATCTAAAATACAACATGTTAATATAAAGTGAAAAAATAGTATAAATCAGTTGTAATAAAAAAAACTTATTAAGAACGTAACTCTCTAGAATAATTTGGGTACTATTTTAAGTTGAAATTAAAAATATTATGATCTTCGTAACAAATGATATAAATTGCATAACTATTTTGATTGCAACTTAAAAAGTCAACGTCAAGACATTCTCCGTTATAACCGAAATTATTATCAATTGTGTAATTTTTTAGTGTAGACATGTAACATTCTCAAAAATCCGCCGTAATGTAACATTCTCGGTTGTAATTGAAATTATTATCAATCGTATAATTTTTTATGTTGGACATGATAATATTTTAGGTTAAAACCCGCTACAACTTAATCATAAATAGGTCACCACAACTATTCACTTGTAACATACCATATCTCAATAGGTTTGCGTAATTTTTTTACCGTGTGTATATTTTTAAAATGATATTTTTCCAAAATCAAACTTTGTTGTTAAATATCTTAGACTAACCATCCCTTAGAAGGTATTGTTAAAAGATCACCAATTCCTAAGGAAATGAATGTAACAATAGGGTGTGTTTGATTCACGAAATGTAAGATTACTAACGGGAATAAAAGATTTCTAGGAATAGGATTAATGAGAATGTTGTATTTTGTGTTTGGTTGGTTTAGCAGGAATGTAAGATTACCGTGTTTGGTTAAAGGAATAAAAGATTATTGGAATGCATATTTGACCAAATTATCCTTATTATATATTTGTTTTTTTAACAAGTTGAATTCTACTATAATATTACTATAAGATATTTATATATTTTCTTTAAAAAATTTAAATTCATAAAATGTATATAATTTTTTTTACAAAATTAAAAATATAAAAAAGTTTAATGAAAGGGTAAAATTTTATTTTAACCCCTAAACTTCAAATAAAATTTTAATTATAGACTTTTTCTGTAAATCTAAAATAGTTTAAGGATAAATTTATAATTTAACATTCGTAGAATTTTTATTATTCAAGGACATAAGAATGATATTTTTGGGGGGGAAAATTAAGGGCATTTTAGTCCAAAACGCCAATAATCCAACAATACTTAAGGGAAGGGGGTAATGACATTCCCGTTAATATACCCAAAAAAATTTACTATTGGTAATAAAACATTACCGGGAATGAGATTATCAACCAACCAAACGGGAGAATATGGATTCTATTCTCCCGATAATCTCACATTTCCATAACTAAAACGCCCTGGCTTGTTGAATTTTTACTTGATCCAAGATGTGAGATGTATATGTCATTTCGAAGTGATATATTAATATGTTGGTGATCTATCACTGTAACACCCTTAACCCATATCCGACCCGAATATGAGTCCGAGATATCACATTGACTTTTCAAACTTTGACACTTAAAGAAAAATCAAGAAATTTTAAACTTTCATTAAAACCAAATAATTTGTTGTTAAATATCTTAGACTAACCATCCCTTAGAAGGTATTGTTAAAAGATCACCAATTCCTAAGGAAATGAATGTAACAATAGAGTACGTTTGGTTCACGAAATGTAAGATTACCAACGGGAATAAAAGATTTCTAGGAATAGGATTAATGAGAATGTTGTATTTTGTGTTTGGTTAGTTTAACAGGAATGTAAAATTACCGTGTTTGGTTAAAGAAATAAAAGATTATTGTAATGTATATTTAACCAAATTGTCCTTATTATATATTTATTTTTTTAACAAGTTGAATTTTACTATAATATTACTATAAGATATTTATATATTTTCTTTATAAAATTTAAATTCATAAAATTTATATAATTTTTTTTTACAAAATTGAAAATATAAAAAGGTTTAATGGAAGAGTAAAATTTTATTTTAAACCCTGAATTTCAAATAAAATTTTAATTATAGATTTTTTTTGTAAATCTAAAATAGTTTAAGGATAAATTTATAATTTAACCTTCGTAGAATTTTTATTATTCAATGACAGAAGAAAGATATTTTTGGAGAAAAAAATTTAAGGTCATTTTAGTCTAAAACGTCGGTAATCCAACAATACCTAAAGGAATGGGTAATGACATTTCCCGTAATATACCCCAAAAAATTTACTATTGATAATAAAACATTACCGGGAATAAGATTACTAACTAACCAAACGGAGAAATGTAAATTCCATTCCCCTGATAATCTCACATTTCCCGAACTAAACACGCCCTGGCATGTTGAATTTTTACTTGATCCAAACGTGAGATGTATATGTCATTTCGAAGTGATATATTAATATGTTAGTGATCTATCACTTTATTATGAAATACCAGATTGGCCCGTTCTGGCCCAAGTACCCTTATTCCCGCATAGTAAAAGTTGTAAAGTCAACAAGCTTGTTTTGATTTCATTGAACAACACACGATTCATTCAGTCCACAAACTTAATTATGCGTGAAGTGGAAGTTGTAGGCAGGAAATTTCGTAAGGCCTCAGCAATTGGGACAAATTTTCTTCTTAACCTGGAGAAATTGATGTGAGTATCTACAAAAACTTAGTATTGACGGGTCAAGTCTATCTAGCTTCTTTCCAAGAAGATTGAAGTGAATAAACTCCCTCGAAGAATTAAGATCTCTTACTCGCTTTTAACCGAAACCCCAAATACCCCCCTATTATACTCTTTTTTTTTATTAATATTAGCTGGTACGAGGTAATATAGGTTTAAATATAACTCTCAACTATTTGACATTAGACACTCGTACGCATAGCATTCCTAATGTTTAAACCCGAGACCTCAAGAAATAACAACAATTCTTTTATTACTAGGTTTGTGATGATACGTCCAAGCCCAACCCATATTATTATTTTCATGTTTAGGTCATCCTCATTTTTTATTTATAATTTAAGATAAATTATCTATTTGATATCTCATTTATTTTTGTATTTTTTTGGGAAAAATTATATTTAATGTTATCTTTTTCTTTTTCTTTCTTTTAATTATTAGTAGTTAAGTTCAACTATTGACTTAACCTAAATAGTTATACCACAAATAAACCCCATTCACTAATTTAATACATGACTTATTAATCCACCTGGCTAGCTAACCAACTATTCAATAACCTCAACTAACTCTATCAAATATTTAATCAGCAAATTAACTTCAACCTTTTTTAAAGTGAATTTGATCTTACAAGTTTATTACATAAGTTGTAATTGTGATATGCCCGAATCAAATATAAACAATTTTCTTCCTTGTTCTTAACATTCATTCGTAGTTATTCTTTAACATTTTCTTTCTTATTGTATTTCTTCTTCAAAACTCATTCGAAATTCCTTTTTGTTGGAAGCAAGACAATCAAACTGCAAGCTCTCGATTGCAATCTAAAGACCCTCTTAGACAAGAAGACACTCCATTATATTTGATTAAGGAAGGCAAGACTGTTAAACTGGTAAATCCTCCCCATATAAATTTCTACCATGAACACTTTGACTATTAAATATCAAATTCCATGTTACCTTGTGGAAGAATCATCAGACAACAGTGATAGAAAGATTAATGAAAGGTAAACATCAACCAACATAAACCAGTAACACTGATTTCCTCAACAACCCTGCACAACTTGAGATAATAACATAATGATACCGACATATTCATCAACAGTTTGAGCATCTAATCCAAATATGGTTCTATCATAGTAACAACATACTGATATGAACAGATCCAACAACTAAACTCAAGTTAAGCACTAGATTAAAGAAGAAACTGGAAGACTAGAACGATGAGATTAATGAAAACCAGAGACCTAAAACGAATTGAAATCGTCAATCGGAAACACAACTGCTGCACAAGCCAAGAACGAACCGACAGAGGAAGCACAACAACAGCAGATTGAAACCAGGATGCAATAGCCTCAGATCTGAGGTGTCAGATGGAATGGTAAATTACATGCAGCGACAATAGAAGAAGCAATCAGTGAATGATCAGGAATGACAGCAGTAGCGGCAGTAGAAAAAAAGACGATGAAGTGAACTGACCAAAGAAACATTATCTTCGTATGAAGAGAGGGAAAACAACGTAGAATTTATTATATCAAAATTTGGAATGTTACAAAAAAAGTATATAAAAACCTTCTGAGGATATCTTAAATCAACTCTATATCCCCTCGCGACATCAAATATCAAATTATACACATTTAATTACCGTAGAATTTATTATATTAGATATCTATTGATATAATATAATTACACTGTATCAAAAAGTAGATATTACATACTACATTGGATATAGATTTTCTTTATATTTATCCCTATAAAGTACTTACTGTATAACCCCACAAATCCTTTGCTGCTGCCCTCCTACTCGTTATAGAAAAAGGGAGAAAAACTTATCAGCTTTCGGTGGCTCCACAAATCACGCGAACACACATTATTGGCCTTTTTATACAATTTTCTACCTCGATAATGAAAATGATCATCTACTCTACCCCATCTCCCAACAGTGATTTCTCTTTTATATGTTTCTCCAGCAAATGTTAAATCAAAGGATAATTTGGATACTATTCCATACACGTTAGCTGGCATAGTTTTTCATGATAATGTTAACGATTTTAAACATTATGCTCACAGTTCAAAAGAAAAGAAAGAAAGATTTTGATCGAACTAGCTCATAACTACATAAAGAAAGGAGTTTATGTATCTTGTTTGTGGCGTCTTGGGGATGTATCTTCAGTTTTGTACTTCCTAAGAGCAAAACAAAACCCTATTAAATATAAGAATATCAAAACAACGAGAGTAATTAACAATATGATGTCCACGTTTCTCCATTCTTTGGTCAAATTGTCCAGTAATCCCGCTTTGCATGAATCACAGTGGAAGCAAAGCTGCATTTGTTCATTGCTCCACTGCAAGCAATCCATGCTTGCTGCTGTGTTGTTGGGATTCAGCCAATACGTTGGATTTATGTATGAATACCCGCACTCAGCTGGCGGCATACAGCATCCATACTATAAAACATCCAGTAAAAAAAAGAAATTATTCTTTGCTTTTTCTATGCATTGCAAGTTTAGAATAAAGTTTACCTGTATAGATGTTAACCGAGCATTGAAGAAATCCTGAGCTATACGATATCTCTGGTTTAACTCAGAACACATATCTGTTGAGTTAAGGCATGATCTAACTCGGTCCCACTTGTAAGGACTCGTTACCTTCCGACGAAGCCAACCGGAAAAATCATTAAGGTCATGTTCCGTGTAGGTGCGGCCTGGTGCAGGGTGGCCTGAACCCTTGTTGGTGATCAAATAGATGAAAACAACCAAACATGCAAACACTATTATCAAGATGAACATTGCTACGAGGTAAACGATAAGTAGCCAAGTGATGCGCCAGCACCCTCCTATGAAGCCTAATAGTGCCACGACCGAGATTGAGGCGCCTAGGATTATTAGAGGCCATTGCAGGACCTTGACGCAAGCGTTGTCTGGTTCGTTTGCGAGCCAGATTCCTGCACCGATGATTGGAATCGAGAGAAGCAAGGTGATGAAGTTGAGAGTACCAACAATGGTATTGTTTGCTGCCATCTCGGTTAGACCAAGGCTTATGTGAGGATACTTCTATGGGGATAGTTTGTTCTGTTTTCCTGTACTGAAATAAACCAAATACTAATGGGAATTTGGAAGAAAGGAAATGTAATGGCTTAGAGTAAGGATAAAAGTGAACCAAACAAAATGAAGAAAATGTTGACGACTATGGGGTCATATTTTCCAACTTTGGGCCAGCTAGATGAGCACGAATCACAATAAAATGGAATCCCTTGTTTGATAAGAAAGAGCTTTAATTCTTTCCAGTCACAAATGCAGAAATGCTTCAGTTGTGGGGATTTGCTGTTGTTTACTTTGAACTAGAAGGGGGGATATTTCTCGGGGGAGTACCACTGTCGGCCATTTTGTTTCCGAATTCCAAAACCGGGATTTCAGGTCTTTTGCTCCCAGGCTTAACTTTTCAAAACCAGCTACTAATTAAGATCATTTGTTGGTTTATTTTAGAGATTCGTGCCAAGCCCCTTGCAATGATCCATTTTTTAGTTGTCATTGATATGCAGGCATTTCCTGCATATTGTCAGACAGTAATTCATGAACCCCACCCTTAAAGTCAATGTTCTTAAGGAATAATTATTGAAGTAGGACACATCTCATCACTGTCTTTACAGAAATTTCTACTTAAGTTATACAAATTTTCAACCAAATGTAAACAGTTTACACATGCTTACTTATACAAAGTCGCAAAATCCAAAACTCCATTCAAACCAACCCCAATCGCTGCACTAACACTACCAGTTTAAACTTGACGTAGTTCTTACGCATAACCTTGCTTGTACTTTCTAAATATGTCCTCAGTTTTGGCATTCCTGAACGCACAACACCCTACCAGATAGACGCATATCAAAGCAATGAGAGTTATGAGCAGTATGATGTCGACTTTTCTCCATTCCTGCTTTATATTCGCAAGTAATCCCGCTTTGCACGAGTTACAATTGTAGCAGAGCTGCGTTTGGTCATTGCTCCACTGTATGCAATCCGGGTCTGCTATGTTGTTGATGGGGCTGATCCAGTTTGTTGGATTCACAAAATTGTATCCACATGCAGTTGGTGGCTTACAGCATCCAGACTGTAAAGAAAAAACATAAAGAAGAATAAAGATTTAGAGAATCTAATTACCTTAACACATGCCTGCTTAATTCTACTTTATTTTTAAGCTTAAAAAACTTGATCCGAACAATCTGTTGAAAAAAATAATTGTAAACTTTGAGGCATATTTGCAATGGATAATGGTAGAGATTCGAATTATAAAATTATGATTTTATATTCTATTTCATGAGACCTTTATAATAGTATATCATATGCTCAAAAAGATTTGAATGATGAATGAGAAATTGATACACAAAGTAAATTATTTGTGAATTATGTTGCAAAATACACTTATATCGCATATGGGTGGGATATCAAATATGTGATATGTTTATATATATGAACCAACTCTAGTGTTGAAGACTAAGCTGAAACTGTATAAATAAGTCTCAACAATTTTGTTGATTGGATTTCATGACACTAAGTCTCATATAGATCAAGTGCATCCCATTATTTAAGAAAAAAATAAAATTTAGTATAATATGTTAAAGAAAAATGAAAAAAATAAAATTTTTTACACCTCATTACTTTTAAGAAAATAAAATTAAAATTTTGGTCCGTCACTGACTATATATGAGTAATTATTTCGATCTTAATTCATTTTCCTTTTCTGCTTAATCTCTCTTTTTTGCTAACAATATCCCATTTCCGGAAGAAGGTTCATAGAATTCTAACAAGAACATAACATGGTTCTAAGCTCTCCTTTTGTTTTCTTGCAATGAGCTTATGCAATAACATACTTCATTAAGCTCCTATATGTAAGAATTTTTTAAGGAAGCAGTGAATTTAATCATATTAATGGAACAATTTGAAACATGAGGAGATGAAGTGAGATTTACCTCTATGGGTGTTAAATGAGAGTTAAAGAAATCTATAGCCATATTATAGCTTTGGTTCAGCTGGGAACACATATCTGTTGAGCTGAGACAGAGTTTAATCCTTTCCCATTTGTAAGAACTTCGAACTCTTCGTTGAAGCCAACCCGAAAAATCTTCAAGATGATATTCCAAGTATGCCCGACTCGGTTCGAGGTGGCCTGAACCTCTCACGGTGACCATGTAGATGAAAACAACCAAGCATGCAAGCAATATGACGAGGATCAGCATGCCAACAAGGTAAGCAATAAGGAGCCAGGGAATGCGCCAAAACCCTCCAATGAAGCCTGCTAGAGCTACAACCAAGATTAAGACCCCCAAAACTATAACAGGCCATTGTAAAATCCTGACACAGGAATTGTCTGGTTGATTTGCAAGCCAGATTCCAGCACCTATGATTGGAATCGAGAGCAGCATGGCAACAAAATTGATTGCACCGATTACATGGTTGCTAAATGCCATTTTTCTTCTTCTTTTTAGAGAACTAATCAGTCTGAGAAGAGAGTGAAAGACCTATGTGGGAACTGTTCTGAGATCTAACAATGAAAAAAGGCTCTTAAAACAGAAGAGGGAATTGCCTCGAGTAAAGATATACATGTTGAAAAAATGGGTACATGATAGTGCTCCCCACAAGTTTTATTTTGTTGTTTGCCTTGGATTGGACCGGTGAAAGCTACGAAATAAAGCAATTAATGACTATTTTTAAAGTGTATTTAGGTCTTCAAAGCTAATCACTTTTTTGAAACGGAATACATTTGTACAGGACATGCGAAGAAAAAGAAACAAAGTGATTAGTTGTCTACAACTTTTGTATTTATCAAGGAAAAAACTAGAGAAAAAGACAATTAAACTTCCCACATGTTCTTTGGTTTTGCATCCCTTTATGCCTTTTAGGCTTTGCTCCTCTTCTCTACTCCTAGGTATGGAGTGTCCCATGGAATTTGACCTTGAATGTATTTCCATCTTGTCACGTTTTCAATCATGGTGTACTTTCGTATTCGAAGAGCGTTGTGCCTCGTCTTCTACACTGTCGAGTTTCTCTGTTATCGTCTTGAATGACACTGCAAACAGAATCTTGTACTGAACTTGGATTTGCTTTAATTTCGTACATGGAATTGCTACGAACAAGCATCGGAGGCATCTCTATCGATTTCCTAGCAACATATAACTCCCCGCGACAAACCGATCATGTTTTCCAGATGAAGCCTACATAAGTATGCTGTGTAAAAACCAATGACCGCAACAAGGAATACTATTGTTACAATTATAGATGCTGGCTGGCTGGCGATATTTCCATTTTCTGGCTAGACAGGGAGCTAAGAACAAAAATACAACTTCAGTAACACCAGCAAAGTGGAACACGTTTCTTTTCAGATTAAAAAGGGTAATCTTATAGTATTTGACAACAAGGACCAAGTTACAGTACAGCAGTAATACAAACGTCATATACGTTCCCAGCCAGGGAGGGTATATTCATACATAATGACTATGCAGCTGCCATGTCAACAAGCCAAGTATACTTCAAAGACTTGAAGCGAGCAAAGAAAAGATTTTCCTAACTCATAAGCTGAAGCTTTAAGTTACATCAACATGACCCTGATGTCCTACCCCTAGGAATATAATTATTCACTTTCCAAGGAGAAGTTCTTAATGCAAAGATTTCCTGCTTTCGTCGCTTTTTTTTTCTCTCCCTAGGTGCTTAGAAGACTGCATTCATTCAATATCATCAATCCAGTCACCATATATTCGACTGATTTTATCTGGACCCTTCCATTTCTGAATGGTTCTTTGTCCTGGCTTCTGGAGTACAATGGATGTCCTCTGCGAAGGAACTCCACGATAAACATCTGAAAGAGGTACCAAAGGGGCTGATGCCGCCAAAGTATCTGCAGGAGTTTTTGATGGCACCCCTCCCCCTTGCTTTGAGTCAAAGGGGGGAGCAGAAGAATCCTTTGCTTCCGCATCCACAAGCCCCCCTCCAAATCCGTGTAATTCTGCAGCAATACAAACCATGAATCACTATATGACATATGCTTAAAGCATAGAAGATACTCATGACTAGTCATTTAGCTGCTCAACAATGGAGCACTGGTTTTAAGAGAATTCAAAAGTAAAGGTGAGTGAAATACAACTAACAATACGGTTCTCACTCACCTGAAATAATCGAACAGCTAAAGGGTACAAGCACATGAACTGCAAATTCTTGGTTCTTACTTAACAAGTGTGTAGTACCATTGGCCATGATACTCATTTGGAAAACCAACTTAAACATCAGTGGTAGTTTAATTAGAATTTGAGCCCCTAGAAGACTTTTAGTAACACAAAGCATACCCTCCAATCGAAGAAGACAATCCCAGTATAGAGCATACTCGTAGGAATGGAACAATTACAGACCTCTTCCCTAGATTGAAGCTTGTTGATGGGAAAAGTTGGGTTCACCCCTTCTTGAGAGAAAGCCCGGGGGGGAGAGAAAAGTCCCCTCCACCGAGCAACCAGCTGCCCTAACTAGAAGGGGTGAACCGCTAAAAGCCAACTTTTCCCATTAACAAAGCTTTTCAGTTGAACTCTATGTGAATTCTAGTTCTTTTCTTTTGACTAAATAGCTAACACCAATAACAAACAAATAAAAGGCATAACTATTTGCCATAATCCAAATCAAACCAGGACAAGAAGAAAACGTAAATTTGGTTAACCGATCAATCAATAAACCGTACCTCCAACTCCATGAGCAAAATGGCATTTATTTCCAAATGGGCAGTAGCCAGTAAGTTCCCACTTATTACAAATCCTTGTCTTCCAATTAGACGGTTTAACATTTGGCCCATTCCCACCACCACCACCACCTCCTCCACTGCCGCCGCCGCCCCCGCCGCCAGCATAACCTCCTGGCCCCAAACTAATAGCTACACTCTCTCGATTCTTGGACTGCTCGTCGTGCAAAAAGGTGCAATTGTCACCATAAGGACACCCTTCCTCTGTATAGAACTTCTTGCAATGCCTTCCCTTATATGATCTCTGTGTTTCACCTGAAAAATTAGAAGACACCAAAGCGGGAATCTGGAATTCCTCTCTGGGTTCTGACGAAATCCCTCTTTCATCTTCATTAGCTGCCACTATTTCTTGCCAATTAGGAGGTGGGCGCCGAAGCTCTTCAATGCTATGAGCAAAGTTACAGTTTGTGATATACGGGCAGGTGCCAACCCTGAACTTGCAGCAAAGCTTGGTCTTGAAGAACATTTTGCCTATGGCTCTGGACCTTGAATTTGATTCCTGGGATGAATTTTTCGGTTTCTTGTTCGGTGGCTGTTCGGAATTGGACCATGATTGAGGTTGTCTTTGGTCTTCGGTGGAGGAATCATGGTTGTTCCAAACACGGTAATCTTCTTCTGTTGCCCAAACTGAAGTGTCTGTAGAATTCGGAACCCAATTTTCAGGTGCATTTGTTTGAATTACGTGGACCACATTTTCTCTACCGTAATCCATTTTACTTTATTTTTTCTTTTCTTTTTTTTAAAAAGGGGGGAATTCCTTTGGAACAGAAAACCTAATTTGAGGTAGGAAATCACAAACCAGAAAATTGCAGATGTACCCAGAAGCTAAAATTATAGGAATTTGATGAAAACCCAATTTTCAGGTGCATTTGCAGATGTACCCAGAAGCTGAAATTACAGGAATTGGATGAAAATTGAAGTTAAAAGAGTGGTTTTTGTGAAGGAGGTGGAAGGATTTGGAGTTGGATCTACAACCATAAAATATCATGAGATATATGGGAAATGGTAAGAAAAGAAGAAGAAGATAAAATTCATTCATCAAGGATAATAAAAGTGGAATAAAAATGAAAATATCATATGGAATGAAGAAATTTAGAGATGCAGTGTCTACAATCTGGAGAACATAAAACCAAGATTTTTCATTTCTACTTTTGGTAAAAACTATCTGCGACAACACAACTTTGGAGAAGAGGTAAAACAACCAACTTGTTTTTCCCCCCTTCAAATTTTCAATTATAAATCTAGCCCATTATTCTAATTTAATTAATTTTAAACTCATCAAATCAAATATAAAAAAATATTATTCTCTTAAAAGTTTTGAGTTTGAATAGATAAATCTCATAGTGTAGATTATCAATAGATTAAGAAAGTTCTGAACATATATTATTTTGTAATTACCTAAACTATTAAAAAACAATAAATTTCACTTTATATATTGAAAATTTTAAATTAAAAAATGTAAAACAATCAAATTATATAACAATAATCAAATTTACAACTTACATATATCAGCAAATTTTGACTTATTTAATATTTTACTCAAAACTGAAAATTTTAAATTGTAAAAATATAAAAAATTAAGATTAAACTGCATAAATTAAATTTACATCTTTTACATAGTGTAAGAATTAATAAAAAGCTTAATTATAAAATAAATACTCATAATTATTTCTTTCTATTTTAGATACCTAATTTCTTCAACCAAAATATGTGTGGAACATAATGCAACCATTTATGGTATATTTCTTATTTTCCTTAAATAATTCTAGTGAATATTTAACATATACCCTTTCATTTTTTATTAAACATTTGACTTGTCGTATTTTTTGTCTTAGTTGTTAAATTTAGTTTATTTATCAAAATATTTTATGGTCCATTTGTTGGGTCGCTGAAAAGATTCTTTCACCAAATAACCAAACATAAAACAAACTGTACTTTAAACTAGAAATTAAGGAGAATAAAACTAGGAATTTAGAATATAAAAACACAATAAGAATGATCTAAAGAAGCTTCTTGAACCATCCAAAGTCTTCAAATGGCTTCAGTGGTAGGCTTTTCTTGAAGCTCGTGGAGTGTAGATAATGATTCTTACATTCATCAATCCAGAATGATTCATTTGAATGCCCATAATCATTCCTTCAGGGGTTTAAACTCTACGATAAGAGGAGAATGAAAGTAGGAGAAAGAGAAAGGATGAGACACCACACATCCAACTGTTCTCCCCTCTCCCATACTCCTAAACATAGGAAGCATTTAGGTTTTCAACAATAGGTAAATCATATTTTTAGTCATTCATAACTTAAAAAACCTCTTAATCAATCTCAATTCTCACTCGATTAAGCTCGTATTTTACCCAATAACTCTAATCACACATACTAATTGATATATTCATAGCCTGGAGTCAACACTTAAAAATTAACTAAAAAAATTGGATCATTACAAAAATTCATTTAATCAAGTAGGCCCAAACAACTCTCATGCTTGTTATTCTTCATCCTTAAATTGAATTGTAGGTAATTATCAGTCATGTCACTGTATAATGTGGCATCAACTAGGGGAAAATTGGTGTATCCTTGGTTAACATTGGAGGCATCAACTATAAACTCCCAAAACTATTAGGCATAAAACATCTCTCAACAACAGTTCTTCGTGTAACAGTTGACGGACAAGACGATTTAAAGAAAAAATAATTTATTATTAAACAACCAGTAGATTAATAAAATAGGTTCACCATGACTTGAATAGAGTGGGCTGGAAAGGACCAATTCCCTCCCAACCCACTCTACCATGCGAAACATAAGATAATGACTATATAAATAATCTCTCCCTATGAAGAAAGTGAATTCTCAAACCATCTTGTAGTTCTTTTATTTCTCATGCGGAGGAACACCTTTGAATTTAAAATCGATGATAATTATTTCCCGTCCAATTTAAAAAGAAAATATTATAAACCGTCAGCTCGTCGCCTCCATCCCTAACCCATTTAACCATTACCATTCTATATGTTGCACATCAAGAGAACCAACTAAATAATTCGAACTCTAATTCAGCTTATCAGAATTTGGTTATATGAAGATATAGATGCTCTTTTTGTTCCGAAGCTCGTTGTTTTGATAATGTTATAAACCTATTTATCAAGGTTAAATTGTAATTTTTTTTATGAAAAAAGTAAAATTTTAAATTAAACTGAACATTTTTATTATTTTGGTGTCATTTTTTATTCTTGAGATAATGGCAGGAAAACTGTCACTTGAGAATCTCACTCTTGGTTGAATTAGATTCCCAACTGATTTTAGTTTGCATCAAGTTGTTCAGGTTCTTGATTTTATAGTTAGATTTTTTTCACCTTCATTACATTGTTATGCTAGTATTTTTTTAAATAGTTCGATATAATTATAATATAATATTTGTTCAGAATATTTCTTAATATTGATAACGTACACACTCAGTAAACACAGTTGTTCGAATCTAGGATATCAAGAAAAACAATATTTCCTTTAATCACTAAAACCACTTATTAATTCGTTATGATAATCTTTTTAGATCCGGCTGATCATCTTTTTGTGTTTAGCATAAATAGGACATCAGAGTTAGGAAGAAAACCACGTAAAGGTCAAAAAAAAAAAAAAAGGAATGGGGATCATTATTTTATCATTATTTACTAATCCACATGTCATCATCTTAGTGAAGGGGCACACAAAGGGCATGGAGCTAGAGAAAGTTTGATAGTAATTACAAATATTAACCATCAATTGGTCTAATAAATGAAATGGAAGGCTTATCAAACAATATTAAATGTCAATTTTCAAACAATATTGATTTTAGATTCATAGTTCGGTTAACTTAAATTAAATATTACAGAATTTTGTTCTTTTTTATGATTCGAATTTGAAAAGTGTAATTTGCATGAGTGCATAAATTATATATAAATATTTTCAAAGAAAATTAAGGAAATATAATTTTTAAGCTTTAGAATTAAGAATTTAGAGTTTAGAACATATAATAATATTAAAATTCCGTTGGAAAAATATTTTATTTCCGATTCTCGCACATAAAATAATAAGCATAAAATAATTTTAAAAATCCCATGAATTATAAGACAAATTATAAACACTTTGGCTATTTGAAAAAAATGTATAAATACTTCACCTTCAACCTGAATTTTGGAAATGGATCAATCCTCCAAAGGTAGCTCACTCTTAAAATCCAACATCATCTTTTTCAATTTCTTGTTGCTTAACCTTTGTTGGATCATCATGTGAGCATCTTCGTAACTGCGATATATATATATATATATATATTAAATTAATACCACCATATATACATTGATTATTGGATAATCATATTAACTAAGACACTAACCTTTGTGGATGTGGGGAAAGAGCAGAAGGTGTAAGCAAGCGGGCGAGGCGAATAGCATCTTCTTGGTTAGTAACAGCGTGATTGAAGCATAAATATCGACCGTAGGACGAAACATCTTCAAAGACGCAGATGTGAGCGTCGACCAAGAAATGAAGGTCGACGGTCACCAACGTCCCACCCTCGTACATCTTGGCCGCTCCTTTCATGTAAGGGTGGGTGATCGACAGATGCCGCCCCGTCAACAATCTACCGTTGATCGAAACCATGTTAATGCCCCTGTCCATTGCCAATGCCCATGCTGTCTTCTCTGCTACCGTCTTCGATGGTGCGTGCCATAACTGCTTTGCCACTTTACTTGTGTCAATCACCAAACAAAAACTATAATCTAATCAATAAGCAGCTCTAACACCTTGAATTCGCGACAGAGATCGACATCGCTCCAATGTCCTTCGTCCAAATCGGATTCAATCGATCGAGGGTTGCCTCTCCAAATAACGCGGTGACGGAGGATGTGAAGACCACCTTGTCTATCGTCTCCGTCCGAGAGCAGGTCTCTATCACATTGTGTGCAGCTCTTACCTCTTCTTCTGCCATATATTCCTGCAGTTGACCATTTTCTCAACTTGTGATAGAGGTAAAATGACCATTTTCATGTAGAAATTAAATATGGAAGACTATCACAAATAAATAAATATTTTAATGACTAAATTTTAAAAAATAGATATTAAATATTGAAGAAGTATAATTAATTCATGTAGAAAATGACTAAAATGTAATAATAAAAAGACAAAATGGCCAAAACTATAATTTACCCAAAAATAAAAATATATATCCTAAAAAGTCAGGTCGGATTAAGCACAGATTTAATGTCGAATATCTTAAAACGATGTTGTTTTAGAATAATAAAACTCTTCCAAAAAGACTGTTTTAAGACTATAAATCCTCCTCTCATTTTCTTTCTTTTCTTTTTCTTTTTCCTCTTAAGGAGCAATTCTGCAGTGCTGCGCCTTAGTATACGACTAAAATAAGGCGCTACCGGTTTTGTTATTTAAAATAATAACAAAACCGGTTGCGCCTTATTTTAGCCGTATACTAAGGCGCCGCACGTGAGTGTTTCCCTTAATCTATACAAACCAATATTCGGCATGTGCTAATCGCACTAGTCATTAGGGGTATTTATCGAGCGGGTTGGGTAGTGCTCGATTTGTGTTCATTAAAAAAATTTATTGTTTAACTCGACTTGCTGCTCATTAAGTTCGTTAAATTTTTTGTTGAGTCGTGTTCATTAAAAAAACTTATTATTCAACTCAGCTTGTTGCTCACTAGAATTTTTACCTTACTTTTTTAACTACATGTAAAATCTACTAATACTATATAAAACTTAATATAAACATAAATTAACAAGTTTAACAAAAAAAAACTTATCAAAAGAATATATGAAACAATTTCAAAATCTAAACTCTAAAATAACAATTCACAAATACATCAAACTAGTAAATTAGTATATTAATAGATTAGTAGTGATTAGTAATTTATCTTCTTATTATTTGTTAGTAAATTAGTCATTATTATTTGCACATTCTTTTTTTAAAATAAAATTACTTTTAAGGTAGTACTACTAAAAAAATATAAAAATATTAACGATTTGCTTGTGAATTTATTGAGTGGAGTAGGATCTTGCTCGACCCAACTCATCGAGATCTTAAATCGAGTCACCCTGAATTAAACATTAATTGAATTTTGACAGAATCAAGTTCAAATTACTTACGAGCTGTTCGATTAGTCATCACTCGTTAGCCGATGATCGCTGGGAAAC